ATAGCACGCAGCCTGTGTCAGCCCTCGTTGTAGGTATACCCCTGCGCCGCCTTCGATGGGCTTCGGTGGACAAACACACGTTGGCGCTAACACGCGTTCCCAGACATTCGACGATCTAATTTTTCCAATGCGCGGCCCCAGAGGACCCGACCCCTTGCATAGGGACGGTTTTTCGTCCCGGATTCATTTTTTTCCCGGGTCCGATGACGGACCTTGGAGGCCAACATCGAGAGAAAACATCAGGATGAACAAATCAGTTCAAGTTGCTTGCTGCAAGTTCTGTCACCGTGCCAGCCCAGCATTCTGGGTGGCGACTGTTCGAGGAGGCACAGAAGGCCGTCACGTGTGACACCTCGGGTCCTCAGGCTTGGGAGAAAAGTGGTGAGATGGGGGATGATGCTGCTGCTGATCATGATGATGATGATGATGATGATGAAGCCGATGATGCTGCTACTGCTAATGATGATGATGGTGCTGGTGATGGTGATGATCATGTTCATATTCATGATGATGATGATCATGATGATGATGATGATCACGATGATGATGATGATGATGATGATGATGATGATGGTGATGATGATGATTATGATGACGATGAGTATGATGAGTATGATGAGTATGATGATGATGATGATGATGGTGCTGATGCTGATGCTGATGCTGATGATGATGATGATGATGATTATGATGATGATGATGATGATGATGATGATGATGATGGTGATGATGATGATGATGATGAAGATGACGATGCTGTTGCTGCTGATGATGCTGCTGCTGCTGCTGATGATGATTATGCTGCTGCTGATGATGATGATGATGATGATGATGATGATGATGATGATGATGGCGAGGACGATGGGGAGGAGGAGGAGGAGGAAGAAGAGGAGGAGGAGGAGGAGGAGGAGGAGGACGAGGAAAAGGAAACGGAAAAGGAGGAGGAGGAACAGGAGGAGGAGGAGCAGGAGGGGAAGGAAAAGGAATGCCGTCACATGTGACACATTTCGTATGCACTTCTTAAGGAGCCCTCGCGTGACTCATTTGGACCGTCTTGGGGCCGTCTTGGCCTCCTGTGCTCGGGGATCCCTCGGGGCTGTCTCGGGGCCCTCCTTGGGCCGTCGTGGGATCCTCTTGGGTGTCTTGGGGCTCTCTTGGGTCGTCGTGGGGCCCTCTTGGCCGCATGGGGGTTGTCTGGGGGCCGTCTTGGCGCCGTCTTGGGCCGTCGAAGGGCCTTCCGAGACCGTCTTGGGTCCCTCCGGGAACCCCCTTGGGCCGTCGTAGCCTGGTTCACGATTAGGCGTCCTCGGGTCGAGGCGAGGAGCGTTGTTGAGCATTTGCCTCCCTGGTGACCACCTGCCGCCATCCCCAAGTCGGTGCATCAGCTCAAGAGTGGTTGACGTGGGCAAGCCGTGCACTTGATTGCCACAGCGTCCCGACATCTGGGACACTGCTTGCTCCACTTTCTTAATGACGCGAGGCGTTCGCGAGGCCATGTGCTTCTGCAGCTCCAAGTGCTGAGCCTTCGGTTCGTGAGTCCGTTGACGATGATGGTGATGTATTATGATGGTTGTGGCGATGATGATTACCTAAGGATGATGTTGATGATGCTGCTGATGGTGAGGGCGATGATGATGCTGCTGCTGCTGCTTCTGCTTACGATGCTGATGATGGTGATGATGATCCTGATGATAATGCTGATTCTGATAGTGATGACGATTACGATGATGATGACGAGGATGATGCTGCTGATGATGATGTCGATGACGATGATGATGACTATGATGATGATGATGCTGCTGATGCTGGTGATGATGATGAGCGGATGACGATGCTGATGACGACGATGGCGATGATGATGCATATGCTGATGATGCTGATGATACTGATGATACTGATGATGATGATTATGATGAAGCTGATGACGATGACCATGAGGCTGATGATGCTGATGCTAATGATGATGACTACGATGACCATGACAATGACGATTGCGATGACAATTACGACGAGGGCTCTGGCGGTGATGGTGGTGGTGATTCTGATTATGCTGACGATGATACTGATGATGATGACGATGACAACGATGATGATGATGATGATGATGATGATGATGATGATGATGATGATGATGATGATGATGTGAATGATGATGATGCGACTGATGTCGTTCATTATGACCATGAGGTGGATGATTATGCTCAGGGTGATGATGATGCTGATGCTGATGATGCTGATGCTGATGCTGCTGCTGCTGATGCTGATGCTGCTGATGATGATGACGATGATGCTGATGCTGATGATGATGATGATGATGATGATGATGATGATGATGATGAGGATGACGATGATGATGATGATGATGATGACGATGATGAGTCCTATTGTGCTGATGCTGACGATGATGACGGCGATGACGATGACGATGACGATGGCGATGCCAATTACAACGACGGCTGTGGTGGTGGTGGTGGTTCTGATTATTTTGAGGATGATAATGATGATGATAATGATGATGATGATGATGATGCTGATGATGATGCTGATGATACTGGTGATGCGACTGAGGTTGATCATGATGATCATGAGGCGGATTATGCTGAAGATACTGATGATGCTGATGATGATGATGATGATGATGATGCTGATCATGCTGATGACGACGATGATGATTCTGCTGGCGATGGTGATGACGACAATAACGATGATGATGATGATTGATGCTGATGCTGCTGATGATGAAGGAAAACGTGATGCCGCTGATGATGATGAGGCTGACGAGATTGACGATGAGGATGATGATGCTGATGATGGTTAGGTTGATGAATCTGATGATGATGATGATGATGATGTTGTTGATGATGATGATAATGATGATGTTGATGATGATGATTCTGATGATGAGGATGATGATGATGATGCTGCGGATGATAATGGCAATGGCGAGGCTGCTGCTTCTGATGATGACGACGAGGATGATGCTAGCGATGATGACGAAGACGATGATGATGCTGAGGATGCTGATGATGATGCGATGTTGTTGATGCTGATGATGATGAACATGATGGTGCTGGTGGTGATGATGATGTGCGATGCTGCTCATGTTGGGACTGATGCTGCAGCATCAGCAGCAGCAGCTGCTGCTGATGATGACGTGGGCGATGCTGATGCTGATGCTGATGCTGATGCTGAGGATGATGATGATGCTGATGCTGATGCTGATGCTGATGCTGCTGATGACGATGATGATGCTGACGGGCAAGAAGAATATGTCGATGCTGATGACGACGACGATGATGATGATGCTGGAGATGATGATGTTGTTGTTGATGCTGATGCTGCTGATGATGATTGGGCTGATGAGGCTGACGACGACGCTGATGATGATGCTGCTGATGATGCTGGTGGTGGTGGTGGTGCTGATGATGATCATGATGACGACGACGACAGCGACGATGATGATGATGATGATGTTGATGATGATGGGGAGGAATAAGAGGAATATGACGATGATGACGATGACGATGATGCTGATGATGATGATGATGCTGATGCTGATGCTGTTGTTGATGGTGGTGCTGCTGCTGATGATGCTGATAAGTCTGATGAGGATGACGACGATACTGATGATGATGATGCTGTTGATGCTGACGATGGTGATGATGATGATGCTGCTGCTGATGCTGATGCTGATGCCGATGCTGATGATGATGCTGATGACGATGATGATGATGAGGATGATGATGATCATAATGATGCTGATGATGCTGATGGTGGTGGTGATGATGATGATGGTGACGATGATGATGAATGTGATGATGCTGATAATGATAAGGATGATGATAATGATGATGATTATGCTGATGATGAGGAGGATGATGATGCTGAGGATGAGGATGAGGATGAGGATGAGGATGATGATGAGGACTGTGATCGCGATGATGATGGTGGTGGTGGTGGTGATGCTGATGCTGATGCTGATGCTGATGCTGATGCTGATGCTGATGCTGCTGCTGCTGCTGCTGATGATGATGATGATGATGATGATGATGATGATGATGATGGTGGTGGTGGTGGTGGTGGTGATGAAATCATTTGCTCAGCACGCCGCCAGGTGCAGCTCCACAGAGCTCTGTCCGCCACCGAGGGAGAAAGGAACAGGAAGAAGAGAGGGTTGACGGTGGAGGAGGAGGAAGGTGAGGGGAGGAGGGATAATGACGAGGAACAGGGACGAGGAAGAGGGGGGGAGGGAGGGAGGGAGGGAGGGAGGGAGGGAGGCAGGGAGGGAGGGAGGGAGGGAGGGAGGATGGATGGATGGATGGATGGATGGATGGAGGGAGGGAGGGAGAGGAGGACGAGGAGGACCAGGAGAAGGAGGAGGAGGAGGAGGAGGATGAGGAAGGGAGGGAGGGAAAGAGGGAGGAGGACAAGGAGGAAGGGAGGGAGGAGTGAGATGGCGCGGGTGGGGGAGGGGGGCGCTCGTCTTCGCGGTCGAGTGCCCGCTCTCCTGCGCGCGCTATCTGGCATGCGCACGCCCAGTTCGTGCCGTCTTTGGGGCTCTTCGCTGAGCGTGCGAGGGCAGGTCTCTGGGCACGTCTTGTGATTACAGGGAGGCCGCAAAACGTGGCCGGGGCCTGCCCGTCCACTCTTTCAAGCCTTGTTCAATTTAGTGCTTTTGTTTTGTCCAGCCCTTGCGACCTCGTTCCGACTCGTTTCAGCCCCCGCCAGTTTTCCAGCCTTGGTCACTTCCACATCATTGAAATCCCCATTTTCATTCTCTCCAGTTCCTCTGCATGTGCCCGTGAGCATGCGTGACTGTTTGTGTGGATTCGTGCGAGACCGTGCGGGGATGTGCACGTGCAGCGCGCTCAATGTACGCAAGCACACGCGATGGCTTGGCGTAGTGGCAACGTTGCGCGCATGCAGGCTGAATCTGGTCATTGAGGCCACTATCTTCGCTCCTTCGCTTCACCTTCCGCCCGATTGCTTGACTCACCGAGGCAGATCGGATGCTCGACATGGGTTTCGAGCCACAGATCAGGAAAATCTTGGCGCACGTGCCCAGGACCCTGCGCGCTGCTGGCTCAGGGTTTCCTTCGTGCTCTGCCTTGCTCCTATATTCTCTCCGCAGCTGCGGCCAAGGCGCTGACATCAGGAACAGCTCGGGTTCGGAAAAGGGCGTAATTTCCTGCAGGTCCTGCCACGGCTGGTCCTCTAGCCCCCTCGTGCACCCATGCTCTTCTGGTGCCAGAATCGGCAGCGAGTGAGGGGGGAAGTGAGCAGGAGAAGGCCTTCTCAGAAGGGGGCGGGACTTCTCAGACGCCCTCGCACCTTCTGAGAGGTTTTTTGTGTCTTCGGGGAAGGCCTAGAACACTTCCCAGAAGGCCGAGGTACTTCTGAACCTTTTGAGAAGGCCTTCTCCGACTCACTTCCCCCCCTCGCTCGCCGCCGACAAAGTGGCCTCGTTCCTTGTTCAGCTTTCCCCCCGGCAGGGCCATGAGGGACAGCCAGGGTTCAGAAAGGGGCCCGATTTCCCGCAGGTCCTGCCACGGCTGGTCCTCCTGGCGCCAGAGAGTGGCCTCGTTCCTTATTGCGAAGGCCTGACGGCCGGTGCCGCCGACCCTGAAGGGGGACGACGACGAAGACAGCGACGATGAGAATGTTCGAAATGAATGGGAGGGAGGAGGAGTGGGTGAAGGAGGCGTTGGAGGGGAAGGGGAAACGGAGGGAGGAGGGAAGACAACTAGGAGGAGGAGGGACGAGGAGCTGGATGGGTGCCAGAAAAGTGGCCCCGCTCCTGGTTCAGAGCTCCCTCTGGCAGTGCCACGGCCGCATCCTCGCCTCGCGCTCCCCCCCTCGGCGCCTCCCCCGACCCCGCCTGGACGTGGCCGCCGCTGCGCCCTCGGGCCTGCCGCCCCCCTCCCCCGTCCCGAGCCAGCACCACCAGCGCCACCACCAGCTCCGCTTCCTCCTCCTCCTCCTCCTCCTCCTCCTCCTCCTCCTCCTCCTCCTCCTCTCTTCTCTCTTCTCACTTCTCTCCTCCTCCTCCTCCTTCTCCTCCTCCTTCTCCTCCTCCTTCTCCTCCTTCTCCTTCCTCTCCAGAAGCGTCCGGAAGCCTTCGATACTGAGAAACTGCATGGAAAGCCTCTGATTCGTTGCCGAGGTGGCAACTGTTTTTGGGAAAGTGTGTAGAGATGATGATCGAGTGGCTGCTGGGTAGGCACGAAAAGCCTGATTGGCTTCGGTTCAACATGTGTAAGTGTAGTGGATAGTTACGCCGTAGTCCCACCCAGTCCATCCACCCATGTCACATGAGATCAGTGCCCCCCAAAAAGCCGAACGCCTCGGAGGCGTAGACTCTGGCAGGGGTCCGTGATTATGGTAAGCAGGTGCCGAGGCACTTGCAGTGCCACCCAAGAGGTTCGGGTGGGGGCTCGATCCTTTGGAAACGGGTCGTTCGCCACCGCAGTGGGAACCAGAGCAGGGAGAGCATCCCAGGTATGTGTCGCAGTGGCCGCTCAGTCGCCAAAAAGAGGAGGAATGGGAGGTCGGTTGACTGTTCTTGCAGGCTGCTTGCTGCTGCTGCTGCTGCTGCTGCAGGTGGCACTGAATGCGGCGACTTGGGACGAAGTTCCTGGACAGCGCTCCGAGAGCTAGGAGGAGGAGGAGGAGGAGGAGGAGGAGGAGGAGGAGGAGGAGGGCTTCAGATCAGAAGCCGGCAGCGCAGGGTGGCCCAGGAATTCTTCTCGGGCGTTGGGCAGGGAGCCCCGCAGCGGCCCCGCATGCAGCTGCAGCGCGTCAGGGAAGCGCTCTTCCACTCGTTCCCAGTGCGCGTGCCGGAAGCCTTTCTCCGCAGCTCCTTCGGAGCCCCGCGGGAGCTCCTGCGAAGCCGCCCTTTCGAGCTCGCAAGCACCCCAGAGGCACCCTTGCAAGCGTCCTGGCAAGCATCTCCTACAAGCGTTTCGCGCACCTGGGACTTCTCCGCCACACATCCTCCTCCTCCTTCTCCTCCTCCTCCTCCTCCTCCTCCGTTTCCAGCGTCCCAAGTGGACTGCAGAGGCCAAGGCAGGCGGTGTGGGGGGACCGCTGGACGCAGCGGTGCCCGTCGTGGCCGGAGCCGAGCCGGGGGATCATCGCGTGGCGCAGAGGGAATGGCCTCCTCGTGGGCAGGTCCCGCGAGGAGCGTCGGGGGGCCGTCGCGCTGGCTGGCGATGCGCGAGGGAGGGCGCGGGCACCGGCGCGCTCGCGGCGGAGAATCGCCCGCGCCGGGCTGTTGCTCTGGTGTCGGTGCGTCTGGTGGTGGTATGTGCGTCTGGTGTCGGTCGCGAAGGGAGCTAATTACAGCGGGACCATCGCGGGCCTGGGTGGCCTGTGATGGTCGCGCCGGCCGCCGCCTCGGGCCCCCTGCGGGGTGCATGGGGGCGGGATCGGGCGATCGCGGGTGTTCCCCCTCCTTCTCCCTGGTTCAGAGGTCGCATGGGATCGCCATCTGGGATTTGCTGCGTATGGGGAGGAGGAGGAAGCGGAGGAGGAGGAGAAGGAGGAGGAGGTGAGGGAGGATGAGGATGAGGATGATGATGATGCTGATGAGGAGGAGGAGGATGAGGAGGATAAGGAGGACGAGGATGAGGATGAGGATGAGGATGAGGATCAGGACGAGGATGAGGATGATGATGCTGCTGCTGATGACGATGATGAGGGTGACGACGCCGACGACGGCGATGATAATGGTGATGATGACGATGGTGATGATGATGCTGATGCTGATGCTGATGATGATTATGCTGCTGACGCTGATCATTGATTGATTGAATACTTGATAGATTGATGATGAGGTTGATGCTGATAATGATAATGATAATTGTAATGGCGATGATGATGATTCTGATGCTGAGTATGATGATGATGCTGATGCTGATGCTGCTGATCATGATGACGATGGCGATGACGATGACGATGATCATGACGATGACGATGATGATGATGATGATGATGATGATGGTGATGATGATGATACTGATGATTTTGATGCTGATGATGATGACGATGATGATGATGACGATGATGATGATATGATGCTGCTGCTGCAGATTATTATGATGATGATGCTGATGATGCTGATGATGGTGATGATGATGATGATGATGATGATGATGAGGATGATGATGATGATGATGATGATGATGATGATGATGATGGTGATGATGGTGATGATGATGATGATGATGATACTGATGATGATGATGCTGATGATGATGACGATGATGATGGATGATGATGATGATGATGATGATGACTGATGATGATTGATGCTGATGATGATGATGATGATGATGATGATGATGATGATGATGATGATGATGATGATGATGATGATGATGATGATGATGATGATGATGATGATGATGATGATGATGATGATGATGGAGGAGGAGGAGGAGGAGGACAAGGATGATGAGTATGAGGAGGATGATATTGAGGAGGATGACGAGTAGGAGCAAGAGAGAGCACGAGGAGGAGCAGGCAAAGGCGGAGGACGAGCAGAAGGAGGAAGAGGAGGAGGAGGAGGAGGAGGAGGAAAATCGTCGTCGTCTGCTAGCAGGCCCTGGTCAGAGTGTCAACCATACCGGCCTAGAGGCTCAGAAACCTTCCGCGCTAAGGTTTGGTTGCTAGTTCTGGGAGGGCCTCTTCGCGTATTCAGATTCTGTTCCATGCATTTGGGGTCTTCTTGGGGAGTTCTTGCGCTGGAGCGGCGTGGGTGCTGGTGGCAGGGGGGGCGCGATAAGTGGGAGTAGGAGCAGGGGTATTTCCTGCATCTCAAAGTATCTTCCTGTCCCGAGAGGCACGTGCACGCTGTAGGTTCTTCCGGCTTGCCTCCCCGTTGGCGCGAGCGCCCCCTCGGCACCCGCACCGACAGCAGGCTCGCGAGTTGACGGTGTCCTCGTCGTCATCATTTCCGTGAGATTAGAATTCCATCGGTCTATCCAATCGTCCATCCATCTATTTCTCTATCATCATCACCGGTACCATCATCATGTATCACTACACCTATAATATGTTTGTCTATCTGTGTGTCTGTGTTTCTGTGTGTCTATGTGTGTGTGTCTGTGCGTCAGTCTCTCTGTCGGTCTGTCTGTCTGTCAGTCTGTCTGCCTGTCTCTCTTTGTCTCCCTCTTTGTCTCTCTCTCTCTCTCAGTGCCTCTATCCCTATCTCTGTCCCTACCTCTGTTCCTACCTCTGTTTCTGCCTGCCTCTCTGTCTGTCTATCTCTCTATCTCTCTCTGTCTCTCCCTTCCCCCTTCGTGCATGCGCCTGCCCACAGGCAGCGGCACACGATGTTCTTCACCGCTACCTGGCCCAAGGACGAGCGAACCGCGGGTCCTGCTTGTCAGTGGCCCACCTGTCTCGTGAGCAGCTGCCAGCTTATTGTCGACATGATGTTGCCCGCTCGCGGTCTGCCTGCACCAACCTTCCAGCACTCTTCTCCCCTCTCGCCCTGCCACAGTGATTCTCTGTTCCTCCACCTCTCTCACTCTCACTCTCTCTCTCTCTCTCTTTCTCTCGCAGTTTCAAGTGTTTTGCCTCCTGAGGCCCCCCATGTGGCTTTCCTGGGGCATCCTGTGCGGCTCCTCTGGCCGTCCGGAGGCGATCTCGGGCCGTCTCGGGGGGCATCTTCGGCGCCACGACGACACAGTCTGTCGGCCCTGTGGACTGTCTGAGATAGATCTTGGCCCCTTTGCAGCCGTCTGGAGACCGCGGCTAGTCCAGGAAACCGTCGGACTGCCCCCCCCCCCCCCCAAATATGCAAGTTAGGGTCTGGTGGATGGGGTCTAGAAGGGGGGGGGGAGAATCTCACAACCCGTTCCGCCTGCCAACCGGAAAAGTGCACAAAAGGTGGCGGCGAAGGGTTTTTTGCCTCCAGACGGCTCCAAGATGGCCCAAACTGGCCTCCAAGATGCCTCCAAGATGGCCACGATGGCCTCCAAGACGGCCTGAGAGGGTTCAAGATACTTCCAGATACGCCCAAGAAGCCTCCAAGACGGCCCAAGACTGCCCAAGAGGTGTCCAAGAGGCCTCCAAGACGGCCCAAGAGGCCTCCGAGAGGTCGTCCAGGAGAGCCCGAAGATGCTAAAATCATTGATTTTCCAATTGTTTTGCTCTTTTCCGTATTTTCGTATTTTCGTATTTGCTCGCTTTCGGCCTTCCGACGACCCAAGACGGCCCAAGAGGCCCCCAAGATCGCCCCCAGAGCGCCCAAGAGGCTTCCAAGATGGCCTCAGGACTGCCCAAGAGGCCCCCAAGACGGCCCCAAGACGGCCCCAAGAGGGCCCAAAGACGGCCCAAGAGGCCTCTAAGACGCCCAAGGAAGCCTCCAAGACTGCCCTGGAGCATCCCAAGAAGGCCCTAAGTCGGCCCAGAGAGGCCCCCAAGACGGCTTCCGACGGCGTCAGACGGGCCAGGAGCCCACCAAGACGGCCAAAGATGGCTCTAAGATGGCCTAAGATGCCTCCAGGAGAGTCCCCAGGAAGGCCCGAAGAGGCCAACATCATTGATTTTCTGTAGGTTTTTGAAGGATTTTGACATTTGCTTCTTTTCGGCCTTCGACGGCCCGAGACGGCCTAAGAGCCCCTAAAGATGCCCCACGATCGCCCAAGAGGCCTCCAGGATGGCCCCAGAGCAGCCCAAGAGGCCTTCAAGACGGGCCCAAGAGGGTCCCAAGACTGCCCAAAAGGCCTCCAAAACGCCCAAGATGGCCTCCAAGGCGGCCCTGGAGCACCCCAAGAGGGCCCTAAGTCGGCCCAGAGTGGCCCCCAAGCCGTTTCCGACGGCGTTAGACGGGCCAGGAGCCCACCAGGATGGCCAAAAAGGCCCCCGAGAAGCCCCCGAAGGCCTCCAAGAGGTCTCCAAGAGGGCCCCGAGATGCCTCACAGAGGCTCTCAGGAAGCTCCCAGGAGTCTCCAAGAGTGTCCCCCGAGGCTCCCAAGATGCCCCCTCCTCCCCCTCGTCGTCCTCCTCCTCCTCCTCCTCCTCCTCCCTCTCCACCCCCTCCTCCTCCAATTCCTCGTCCCCCTCCTCCTGATCTTCCCCGCCGTCCTCCCCCACGTGTTCCCCGAAGGGTTTCCACAACGGCTGGGGGAACACATGGTCCGATAGCTTGGAAGAGCTCTTGCCACAACGCTCGGCCACATGGGCGATTCTAGAAGGCAGGGGGCGGCGGTGATTCGCCGTAGGCGTCTTCGATCCGCCGCCCCCTGTTGATTCATCACAGGGGTGCCCGGCGTGCTGAACTCTTTCGCTTTTGGTTTTGGTTCATTTTCCAATAGAACTCCCCCTGGGGCTTCGACCCGTCCCGCCGGCCACCTAAGGGCGCATAATTCCCCCAACAACTTTCCCAAGACGGCTTAAGATGGCTTTTAAAATCGCCCTGATGGCCCAAGTCCTGGCAATATCGGTGGTGCCTTCAGCTACGGTCACCGTACCGAAACCTTCCATACTGAAACCAATGCAGGGCAACCTGCTACGAACGTCCGGAACGACGATCCACAACCAACGGAAACCACCACGCTGTTAGCTCAAAATGGTGGTTCGGCCGCGGGGTCGCAAGACTCCTGGGCCACATATCAGGGACCGCTGGCAACGGCGGCTCCCACACAAGCCGCTACCCTTGTAGGCTCCACGGGGCAACCCGCTGAGTCCGACTTCGACTCTGGAGCCGACGCTGACACGTCATCATACGACGAAGCGAACGCCCTAGACTATTCCGACATGCCCACGTATCTTACGGAATAACAGCAGGCCCAAGGGCTTTTTTCCTAGGATTTCAGAAGCATAAGCGTAGATGGAAACGATGCATGAAGAAGCCAGTTCGCAAGGTACGACGTACTATGTATCCGACGAGCACTTCGGGGAAAGGGTAAGGGTCGAGGCAAGGGTAAGGGGAAACGACGGTGACTGCATGACAGAGGTATGTTAGATCTCCTGGCATCCCTTACTGGACCGCAATATGAATAACTGTTCCTGGGTGCAGGCAGGAATCGTAGGCACACTTCAGGAAAAAGGTAAGGACGTCGGGGCAACCAGAAAGACGCTAACGGCAAACCAGTGGAATGTGACATCTGCCATAGCACGCAACATTTCTGCCGTGAATGCCCTCGGGGCGATGGGAGAGGCAGAGGTCCGTCGATACATGGGGCTCGCGCCGACGCGGACATACAGTATGTCGATTTGGAAAAACTATTGGCCGACCCTGCCGACAGCCCAGTTTCAGTTGTTAGCTTCGTGGCTGCCAGATATCTGCGTACCAGTATGTCCATCGAGAATTTCGCCGACGAGCTCTTCGAGGAGATATTCACTGGCCACAATGAGATCAATCTGGCAGACTGGTTAGGCATACCCATCGCGGGGCAACTGCACGTGCCGAATTTGTCGAATTTCCCACATGCCCGCCGAAATAGACCAATCTATGGCGGGGGCACCTGCGGATCCAGAGGCCTCAGTTCCTGCGACAGACGAGGAAATCCACATGATGCTTTATTCCAGGTAATTGGCAATCCGACAAGCATGAAAGTATATGATGATGATCCTTTGCGGGGAAACCCGCGTGATGCTGGCGACCTGTCAGACAGCATTCAGTGCGAACTTGGACACAATGAAGAATATAAGTCTACATTCGTGGCCATGAGGCTGTCCCGGAGCCGCCATGAGCGTTCAAAAAGCCGTCGAGGCTGGAGACGCGCGAACCGCTCGGGCGATGATGGCGACGAGTGGGAAGCTGAAGACCAGCGTCGTGGTCGTGTCCGCAGTTATTTGCGCGGACATTCGCGCGCGCGTTCCAGCGGTGCTTGCGGCAATCAGCGCCCTCGCCCTCCTGATACGAGGGCCCCAAGGACCCCGCCAAGGAGGGGTGCCAGACTTGACGCTCCACCGAGGAGGGGGCGCCTGCGGGGGGACCCGCCTCAGAGGGGGGATCATCCAGAAAAGTATCCAGAAGGCGAGGTACAGCGTCCTGTCATTGCCAGCTATGGCGCTCATGGATTAGCTCGTCAGTTCACGCCGTCCGAGAATGCAATGCTGGCTGGACCAAGGTGGGTTCGAGCCTGAACTCGTCGCTGGTATTCTCTTCGCAATGTTGAGCGAGATGAAGAAGAAAAGATCGCTCGCTCCCGCAGGGGGGGGGCGGGGGGGGGGGGTCAAATCGCAGGGGTCTTTTCAAATGCGGGACTTCAAGAGGGCCATCACCGAAGAACGGAAGACTTACCGACGACCGACCGCGGGCCCGGCTGCCCCGCGAGGCACCCATCAAGGAGCCCGAACTGCAGGAAAAAACACCATGGGTCTGGTCTCACGGTGATAGTCGGGGTCGCGTCACAGACCCGCCCAAATACCCCCGTCGAAGAGCAGTTGACGAGAGTGGATTATCATCCAGTTGACGACCATGAAAGAGCTCGCACCGAAGAGATGCGGGAGAATATTGCTCCCAATCGCGACCTGAGGGTATTCGATCGTGAGTGGCATGCGGGGGGACCTGCCTCGTCCAAACGAGATGATGCCGACCAGCCAAAGGTGATGGAGCCGCGGGCAACCAGATCCTTGCTGAGGCAGTAGACCCCGCAGCAGCGGCTCCTTCAGGGCCCGGCTCGGACTACTCCGACACGGATCTCGCCTCTGTCACGGACCACGCTCACGACATCGACGCCATCCTAGAGCCTGGTGACAGGATTACAGGAAATATGCATCTCGAAAAAGGCAGGGTAGTCGCTTACCGCGAATCAAGGATCGGTGGGATGATAATCCCTATTCTAAGAAGGATCGCAGTTAATTTTTATGATGCCGGAGAAAACCCCAATCAGAGTCTTTTTCGATATTGCAGGAGATCCATTTGCAATGGCCCCTTAAATGCATGGTTTCTGCGAGGGCAGCGAAGGCCATGGGGGCTTTGAAGTCTATCAAGTCCAGTCGGGCCACAGATCTGTAAGGCTATAGGGCTAGTGGGCAGTGGGGCTATAGGGCTATAGGGCGATAGGGCTATAGGGCGCCCCCGGGCACCCGGGCGCGCAGCGACAACCGGCGACCAACTTCGCCCCCGGGCACCCCGGGGCGCCCGAGCACCCGGGCGCGCAGCGAAAATCGGCGGCCACGCTAACCTAACCATATGAATCCGCTAGGACCCATACAGAGGCAAGTTTGATTTGGGAATGATTTGGGTTGCAAAAGAAAGGCCGATATCAAGAACATGGCGCTCAATGGGCCTAGCGAATTGGAGGAACTTTTCCCAGGCAGAGGGCCCGTGCGTTTTCAGCCGTGGGCACCCGCAGGGGCAACGCCAGGGGCACTTCCTCCTGAGTCAAAGACAGGCCAACCT